CAAAGGATGCGATGAACCTGCCTTTCAGAAAATGGAGGGCTGAATTGGCCCCCAACATGAAGCGTTGCAGACCTCAAGGAATAGATTTACACCCTCAGTAAAGCATAGAGAAAGTACAGGAAGCCATTCTAGGAGGAGGGCCATGTTAGTTTCTGGTGGCAAAAAGAACCATGTCCACATATGCCTATATGGGATGGAAGATCGATATGTATGGACCTACGTAACACATACAAGTCCTGCGGTGGTCCTTACAGTGTGTCTCACATCTAATCTGCATCAACTCCCAACCGAGTGAAAGAAAAGGCAGAGATAAGAACATTTCAGGCAAGCAAACGGAGCAACACGGACTCTGTCGACCATCCCTCCCACCTTGCTAAGAAACAGAGGGGAGATCTTAGGTGAGATTCACTGGGAAAATCCCAGCGTTGCTTTGGTTTAGGTGCGGGCACCTTGGTAGCTCATGTAAGGTGTCTCCTAGGTATTGTTTGGGCTATTTTTGGAGCTGGAGAACGAAACTTCCTCTCTTCTTCACTTCTTTATCCTTCATCCAACAGGTGCTGCCTGGAAAAACCTGTGGCCAAAGTTTTGCTTGCAAATTCTCTCTGGATAGAAAGCCCTGCAAGGGAGCAGCCCCCAGAAACCATGCAGGGGGAGAAACCCTTTGACCGAACCCCCCCTCAGGGGAAGCTGGGGAGACTCACCACATGCTCTCAGTGCAGGAAAACCTTTACTCACCGGTCTCTCCTTTTGATCCACCAGACGGTGCACACAGGGAATGGATCACATCTGTGTTTGGAGTGTGGGAAATCCTTTCGTGGAGTGTGGGGCTTTGCCAAACATCTCAGGAGCCACCCCGGACTAAGGCCCTACAAATGTGGAGAGTGCGGAAAGCGTTTTGCTGAAGGCTCGGATCTTGGAGCCCATCAGCGAATCCACCGGGGAAGGGGGCCTCAGGAATGCCGGAAGCGCCAGAAACGTTTTCCTGTGAGATGGTGTCTTTATAAGCCTCAGAACAGCCCAACTGAAGAGAAGCCCTGCAAGTGTGTGCAGTGTGGGCTGTCCTTTTCTCAAACATCTGAGCTTCTAAAACATCAGCAAATTCACACCGGAGAGAGACGTTATAAATGTCTGGTGCGTGGCAAATCATTTAATGAAAAATTGATCCTTAAGAACCATGAGAAGATTCACACAGGAGAGAAACCTTACAAGTGCTGGCAGTGCGGGAAGGGCTTTACTTGCAACTCACAGCTTTTGGTCCATGGAAAGGTTCACACAGGAATAAAACCTTATAAATGCTTTGAGTGTGGGAAACATTTTGCTCGAAGTTCATATCTTCGGAGCCATGAGAAAACACACAGAGGGGAGAAAAACGAAAAGTGCCTAGAATGTGGGAAATGTTTTTCTGCCAAATCAACCCTGTTCCGGCATCAGAGAGTTCACACTGGAGTCACGCCCTATAAATGCCGAGTATGTGAGAAACGATTTGTGGATTCTTCTGGACTTCGTAGACACGAGATGAGGCACAAAGGAGAGAAACTGTATAAATGTGAGGAGTCTGGGAAATGTTTTTCCTGGAAGCCATATCTTGTTTCACACCAGTGTGTCCCCTCAGGTGAGAAACCATACAAGTGTGCAGAATGTGGGAAATGTTTTATTCAAAAGGCAAGACTTTGGGAACATCAGAATATTCACACTGGGGAAAAACCTTATCAATGCATTGAGTGTGAAACATTTTTTCGTACGATATCAGGCCTAAGACGTCACGTCAAACTTCACACAGGGGAAAAAAATTACAAATGTTTAGACTGTGGGAGAGCATTTGCTTGTCAATCTTCCCTTAGCAGTCACAGCCGTCTAATGCATATAGGAGAGACGCCCCATAAATGCTTGGAGTGCGATAAATGTTTTTCCGGGAAAGCAACTCTTTTGAAGCATCAGAGAATCCATACAGGAGAAAAACCTTATCAATGTCTGGAGTGTGGGAAATCTTTTCCTCAAAAAGAAAATCTTAGAAACCATGAGAGACTTCACACAGGAGAGAAACCTTACAAGTGTGTGCAATGTGGGAAGGAGTTTACTCGTAACTCACGGCTTCACGTCCATCAGAAGCTTCACGCAGGAATAAAATCTTATAAATGCTTTGAGTGTGGAAAATGTTTCACTCAAAGTTCATCTCTGTGGAGGCATAAGAAAATACACAAGAAGGAGAAAAATGAAAAGTGCCTCGAATGTGGAAAATGTTTTTCCCAGAAATCACACTTGGTGCGACATCAGAGAATTCACAACGGAAAGAGACCCTATGGATGCCCAGAATGTGAGAAACGATTTGTGGATTCTTCTGAACTTCGGAGACACCAGAAGGGGCACAAAGGACAGCAACCTTATAAATGTGGGGAGTGTGGGAAATGCTTTTCTCAGAAACAACAGCTTGGGAGCCATCAGCGGGTTCATACGGGAATGACACCATATCGCTGCATAGAATGTGGGAAATATTTATCCACCAAATCAAGTCTGGCACGACATCAGAGAGTTCACACCGGAGAGAGAACCTATGGATGCCCAGAATGTGTGAAGCGGTTTGTGGATTCTTCTGAACTTCGGAGACACCGGAAGGGGCACAGAGGAGAGAAACCGTATATATGTAGGGAGTGTGGAAAAAGTTTTATCTCAGCAACACAGGTTCTCCTTCATCAGAGAATCCACACAGGGGAGAAGCCATACAAATGTGGGGAGTGTGGGAAATGTTTTCCCCAAAAAGAATACCTTGGAAGGCATCAGAGGATCCATACAGGAATGAAGCCATACAAGTGTCTAGAATGTGGGAAATGTTTTTCTCAAAAGGTAGGACTTTCAGAACATCAGAAAATTCACACAGGGGAAAAGCCCTATCTATGCACTGAATGTGGAACATTTTTTCGTACGAGATCAGCCCTAACACGTCATGTGAAAGTTCACACAGGGGAAAAAAATTACAAATGCTTAGACTGTGGGAGAGCATTTGCTTATTCGTCATCCCTTAGAAATCACAGCCACCTCATGCATATAGGAGAGACGCCCCATAAATGTTTGGAGTGCAATAAATATTTTTCCAGGAAAGAGACTCTTTTGAAGCATCAGAGAATTCATACTGGAGAAAAACCTTATCAGTGCCTGGAGTGCAGGATATCTTTTTCTTACAAAGAAAATCTTAGAAACCACGAAAGAATTCACACAGGAGAGAAACCTTACAAGTGCGCTCAATGTGGGAAGTGCTTTACTCGCAACTCACATCTTTGGGTCCATAAGAAGGTTCACACGGGAATAAAATCACACAGAGGGGAGAAAAATGAAAAGTGCCTAGAATGTGGGAGATGTTTTTACCAGAAATCACACTTGGTGCGACATCAGAGAATTCACACTGGAGACAGACCCTATGAATGCCTGGAATGTAAGAAACGATTTGTGGAGGCTGCTGAACTTCACAGACACCAGAAGGGGCACAGAGGAGTGAAACCATATATATGTGGGGAGTGTGGGAAAAGTTTTATCTCAGCAGCACAGGTTCGGATTCATCAGAGAATCCACACGGGTGAGAAGCCATACAAATGTGGGGAGT